GCCTACTTGGCCAGCTGCGCGCGCGGCACTATTTATGCGAACATATTCATAGCAAAAACACTAGGCTTGTCCTGGCAGGGGATTTCAACCTGCCTAACATTGACTGGACTGATTTGTGCATAGGGAATGGCGAAGCCTCTATGTCTCAGGCACTATTAGATCTGGTTTATTCACAAAATTTGACACAAATAGTTCAAGGGAGTACTAGAACGCAAGGCTCAACTGAATTCATGCTCGACCTGGTATTTTTAAGTCCTACTATGGCGCAAACAAAATACTCATGCCAGGTTATTGACGGGATCTCGGATCATGATATGGTTCTTGTAATATGTCCTCTGGAGAGGCGAGATATTCCGACGCGCCAGCACCTCTCATTTCCGGATTTCTCGAAAGCTGATGACGAAAGTATACTAGATTTTTTAGATGTTGCTGCGTCGCATAAGCCACCGCGTGCGGCGTGAAGAAAACCGAGGAACAGGTGGTGGCAGCGTATCAACGTCTTATACGTTGATATGCCGCCACCAGCGTATCAACGCAATATATCGTTTTCTGAGCGGGAGGAGGATACTGATAGGGTGAGGGAAAGGCGGAGGAGGAACGACGGGGTACCGGCTATCTCTGGTGTCGGCGAACGGAAGAAACGAAGCCAGCATTCGCGGGAGCGACAATGTAGAAATAAAAAGCTAGTGACAATACAACAGATGTCAACTTTGATAATTTTAAACAGCTTTCCTTGTTAGGCACGTCATTGATAGACAATGTTTGGAAACAATTCACAACCGTAGTACATAATGCCATAGAAAAGTTTGTTCCGCTTCGAGTAAGAAGGCGTTCACAGAACAATCCTTGGGTAACAAGAAATATTGCTTGCCTGAAGCATAGGTGAAGAAGGAAACGGCAGCAGCTTAAAAAGCATGAAACTTCCGAAAGGCGAGAGGAGGTGCGGAACCTTTCCAGGCATTTTAAATGCGAAGTTCGCATTGCTAGATCTTTTTATATAAATAATTTCCTTCTAAACTCTATGAAGACGTCCCCTGAAAAATTTTGAAGGCATTTATTTCCTTTGAGAGATGCGGTAACCATCATAGTTGAAAACGGTTCTGTTATAACGGATAAAGATCAGATGGCTTCATTATTCAACGAATACTTTCAGTCAGTTTTCACTAGAGACAATCGTTTTCTTCCCGCTTTTCACGTTTCTGGCAGCATACCTCCCATTCCAAACGTATACGTTGTGGGATTTCCCTTGCTGCTACCCGTCTCGGAGAATGACACAGCACACCGGTTCAACAACACGTAAACATTTAATGACCGCTATCGCCTGCGCCGCGATCCCAACAGCCCCCGCGCATCCGCTGCGACGGCCTTTTATCAGCGGCGGAGCGCCGCTCGCGTGGCCAGTTGCCCTTGGCCCCCTCGTGGTCAAGATGACCACTTATGATTGTAGGAGGGGCAGCCTGGGCCAACCGCTTGGAATCGCCAGGTTGCCCACAACGTGAATCAGGAAGTATTTTTAATTTGCTCTCAAAAATTGATACAAAAAAGTCTCCGGGACCAGACGAGATTCCAAATTCCTTTCTGCAAAGATTTGCCCAATGGTGTTACCAATATTTAGTGATAATTCTTAAACTTACACTTAGCAGAGGAATGATTCCACGAGACTGGAAGTACGGGAAAGTAATTCCTATTCACAAACAAGGCGCAAGAACCACCCTGAACAACTATCGACCAATATCACTAACCACTACGTGCTGCTAAATTTTATAAGATATAATAGCAAAACATTCGATAGATTTTATAGAAAGCAAGAGCATCCTGGGCACTAATCAGTACGGCTTTAGGCAGGGTTTTTCTACAACTACGCAGCTGATTAAAGTTTTTCATGACCTTAGCAGAAATGTAGATAAGGGTGGGACAAACTGATGTGTTTTTAGACTTCGCGAACGCCTTCGATCGCGTATCACCATCCGAAGTTATTACATAAACTTAGTCTCATTCTAAAGAACCGTGAAATTGTGGATTGGTTGGAGGCATACTTATTGGGCAGAGAACAGTTTTTTTATCTTCAGGGCGAAAGGACCAACTCATTGCCAGTGTTATCTGGTGTTCCGCAGGGTTCTGTGCTTGGACCGCTCCTTTTTATATTGTATATGAGGGACATGAGTGACGGATTCAATCCTGCAATAAGTTTAAAGCACTTTGCAGATGACACCATAGTATATTGTAGTATTTTCTCCGTTCATGATCAAGAGAACCTAAATAGGCATCTGAAGAAAATAGATAAATGGTGTACTGAGTGGCAGATGGAACTGAATATTAAGAAAACTCTATATGAATCTAAAGCGTAAAAAACAAATTCTGGAATTTAACTATAACATAAACGGCCTTTTTTGAATAAAGTTACTGAGTATAAATATCTGGGAGTGTTTTTTTAGCTCCGATCTAAACTGAAACTCCCATATCGATCATGTATTTCAAAAAGGGATTTCAAGAACTGGGGATAATCAGAAGAAAGCTAGATCATGCGAGTTCAGAAGTAAGATTAATGGCTTTTAAATGTCTGATTTTACCAACCATTGACTCTGCGAGCCCTGTATGGGAGCCATTTACTACTAGAAATGTTCATATTCTAGAAAGATTACAAAACAAAGCAGTGCGATTTATATTCAATAGTTACAAATCAACCGACTATGCCTCCGCACTCGGGTCCCGAGCAAACCTATGCAGTGTTCAAACCAGGTTGGCTATAAGCAGAATGAAACTTTTTTTCAGATTTTGAGTGGATGTTGCAGAATAAATGTTTCGAAATACGTAGCAACTCTCGAACCCATGCAGCATAGAACAGAACAAATCGTTACATTCAATCATATTGGTGCTCAAAAGATCGTTTTAAGTACTCCTTTTTTGTTCGGTGTATAGATGAACGGAACAAGCTACCCGCACGTGTTGTCGATTCCGAAGATCTCATGTCATTCGCAAAGGAACTAGTTTGTTTATGCATGTAATTAATACCTTTTTATTCATGGTTTTTTGTGTGTATGTAATTATGACCTTTTGTTTATGTTTGCTATTTGTACCACTCCTGCCGTGGCCTTACGGCTGGCAGCAAAGATAAATAAATAAATAAAAATATATGTGTTCGTATCAGTGTTCAAAATGCTGATTCACGTCTGTGTCGTATGCTAAACAGCTTCGCTGGTCATCTACCTTCACAGAGTGGAATGGCTAATGATTTATTTTCAAAATAATCTCATCCCGCCTCTTCCTGGTTCACCTGATCTACAAAGAAACACCTGAATAGATAGAAAAGTATCTTTCAGAACGACGAGCGGCCTAATACATCCCTGCGTTGGACAAATTACTTAACTGTTTCAAATACGTGTAAGCATAAAGTAAAAAAAAATCCAAGAAAGACTTTTATGTTCAGACACTACCAAGCACTTTGCGATCCGACCCAAAGCAGTGCTGGCGTGTCATTAATTTGAAAAAAAATAGATACCCACCTAAACCTAACTAATGAGCATGGTGTGCGACAGTCGGATGGCGGCGAAGTCAACGCGATCAATAACTTTTTTTTCAGTGTTTTTACAAATGACTGCTTGCAGTTACTTTTCTTTTACTTTACATTGAAACATAATTCGGCCTACGCCTCCTTTAACTTTCACACCTCAAGGTGTTTCCTAATTAATTGAAAACCTCCGGGTCAGTAGCTCTCCAGGTGAAGACCAAATTTTTTCGAGACTCCTTAGGGTAACGAGGGACCTGATATTTCTCGTTCTTTCACTATTTTTTTTTTTTCAGCAGAGCCTCGACTTTATCATTGTTTCAAGCGATTGGCGCCATGCTGAAGTAATACCTATCCTTAAAACCGGTCCATCAACAAATCCTTCCAACTATAGACCAATATCCCTTTTCAGTGTGCCCTGCAAAATCATCGAGCAGGTCGAATATACACACCTCCTTGCTCGCCTAGATCGAATAAACTTTCTGTTTACCAACCAACATGGCTTTGGAATGATCACCCACGTGTTATCAAGCTATTTGAGTTCTATACAGATCTTCATGTCAACACTCCTGACAACCACCAAACCGATATCATCTTCATCGATTTCGCCGAAGCTCTTGATTCTGTCTCATATAGTCGTCTCCTGCTAAAGCTATCACATCTATGTATAGAACCTCGCGTCCTCGTCTGGATCGTATTATTCCTTTCTAATAGAACTCAGTCGGTAAAAATAAACACTTCTCGTTCTTACGAATGTTCAGTGTGGTCTGATGTACCGCAAGAGAGTGTTCTGGGGCCTCTTCTCTTTCTACTATATTTCAATAACCTACCTTCTTCATTACCTTCCATAGTCAGACTTTTGCTTATGACTGCGTCATATATAGAAAGATATCGAATACATCCGACCATTTAATATTGCAAGATGACCTTGATAGATTTCAAACTCGGTGAACTGGTTGGCTCATGAATATTAACATCTCAAAAATATAAACCCATGAACATTTCCACGTCACAAAGAAGATCGTCTGACCAGTATTACCTTTTTGTACGCAACATTGATAGGGTGCATTTCTGCAAGTACATAGACGTACATCCTTTAGAAACGTTCAACAGGTGTCATCAAATCGATAGCATTGTAGCGAGTGCTCATAACAGCATCGGCTTCTTGAAAATAAATGTACCTCCCGCACCTACGTTTTACTAAATTGCTTGCTAACAAAAAGGTAATACTACCAAAACTAGCATACGCAAGCACAGACACTCCACTAATCACCGGTCGTCATGTCAGTCTAAACTTAAAACAGAGGTTTGCAGGTGTGCTGCAAACCTTTCTTCTATATATAACCAAGAACTGAGCACTAACTCAAGACCCAGCCGCCCAAATTACGCACACTATTATTCTACTTATCACCGGCTATCATGTGTATTAGTGATTGCAACCCAATGCCATACGAAGCAGTATTTGAGACTAATCCAGCAGCATATAAAATAAAGTATGAAGATTACATTGGAAAACGCAACAGGTAAGCTGTCTCCAATTCAAAATTAATTTGTCTTCTACGTTGTTGAATATTTGTGCATTTTTGCCTCTTGCTGTCTTTGTTGTCTTTTATTTTTTGCTTACCCATTCAAATACTGTGAAACTCCTAATGTTCGCGAGCCCTTAATTTTCGTCAAATCCGCGAATTTAAAAATTCGCGGGATTTAAGGGCAAGTTACAAATATGATCCTTAAAAGTTTCAGTGAAAGTCTCTAAAATTCGCGAAATTTAGTGGCCGCCAATATGTCCCTTGTGACCGATTCGCGTAAAATAAGGCCGTGAAAAAGGGGTTTTACAGTACGTTATAATATAGGTACAATACTGCAATATTTTATCATGTAATCTGCTATTTTCATTATTAATTTCTGTGTACGCTTTCCTCAGTATTTTTGTATGATATAAATAATATATACGCAAATGTATTGTTTTAAAGTTTACCTATATGTATGTTATGAATTCCCCCCCCCCCCTTCACGTAACCTGCTCCCAAGTCGAGTACCTTTGAGGTAATAAATTTACATGCAATTCATTCACTCCGTTGTTTCAATTGTCCCACAGGGACCGTAGTTTCCATCGTATTGACAGGTTATACGCCCGCGGCTTCCTGGGGGACCCAGCATTTCTAGCTTCGGACACGATAGGCTGAGCGACGCCACCAAAGTAATAGCGTGAACGTTTGAACAATGCCGCCGCCACTTCCATGAATATCCAATGTTTCCTGCTTTAGACGCTAGATAGTGCCAAACCAAACACTACTGCAGGCTGCCTTATCCGACTTACACCGCGCCGACCCTAATTCGAGCCGCGATGCGGCTCGAACTTTATAAACTTCATATATGACCTTATCGTCGTTTAAACCGGGGCTAAACCCGACCTACCGTAAGATCCGTGATTCGAATGCCGCATGGCAACAAGTTCAAGGAGAAACTTAGCACGTGGCATTCGAACTACCGATATTGCAGTGACTCGTGGTAAAAAAAAAAAGCCAAAGCATAGCAAGGGCGCGTTTTCCTCGCTTCTACTGACGCACCAGCGGACACGATACCAAGGGAGGCACGATATGTTTGTCTCCTCCTCCAGGCAGATGGGAGGAAAATTCCTCCCTCCCGCCTCATGTTTCTTCAGTTTCGTTTTTCAGGCTCGTCGAACATGTTTTCTAATAAACGCCATTGAGCGGACTGAGCGTCAGCGGCTACGATGGCTGTGTGTATTTCAGTCTTCCGGTTCGAACATGCAGGACACCTCTGCATTGACACTTTTACCGCTAATTTGGTCAAAGGAGCAAACAAAGCCGGAAGAAACTGCGAAGATCCTGAGCACTGCCAGCAGTGCTACGTACATTGGGCTGAAATGGCCGTCTCCGCGAATTTGCCGGTTTTTTTGCCGGGTGCCTGAGTATGTTTTGGGGTCTGCTTCCTGTTAAAAGATGCCATCAAACGATAAAGGTAGTTTTATATTTCCGTGGGTGACCAACATAGCCATGGCAGTGTTGTGCAATGTGAACGAAGTCTGTAATTATTTTCGATGTCTCCACGTATTTCGTGTACCCGGGTTGTAACAGCGAGACGAGATTATATAAACGGTTCCAGGTTAGCGTCCTGTTTCACATTAAAGAGTTTAATAAAACCGCTTGAGCGATTATGCTGCAATCGATTGACCGGCGGATAGTCATGTTGAAAAAGTAGTCCAAAGTGTAGGTCCTATCGTGTATTTACCATGTAACCGTCGTCTGAAAAGCCCTGTTGTCCCCTTCCCGACAGCGAATGGGCTCTCAGAGAAGAGCTGAACACGCTTGAAAGATGGGAAAAAGGAATCACGCAAGAAATATTTACAGTTTGGATTAGCATTAAAGAAAATCAGACAGAACAACCGGAGTGCTGCTAGGTAAGTTGCTTTTCTGCTATAGCCGGATAGATTTTAGTTGGGAGTCTGCATGTAGCCGAGCCTACAAAACTTACCTGCCACCGTTCTAACTTTTCCTTTTAGATTTTCGTAATTACCCCTGTTACGTCTTGGCTGCCGTCCGCCGTTCGGCCCTGGCGAGACGCGATTATGACACGTTCCTTTGGTGGCCAGTACGGGAAAAACGCGCCTTTATTGCTTCCAACACAGATATATATATAGAACGCCACGACTTTTGACGTCAACAGAGAAATGCTATCGGCTTGATAACAGCGGATAGACAGGATGTTGTCACAGAATTCAATAACTAATTTTGTCCTTCAATGGTTATGGTGTTGTCCGTTCCCGTGTTCTTGAGTAGGGTGCGCGAGCGCCGAGGACAGGAGCGCGGGCTTAGGATTTTTTTTTTTTTTTTTTTTTTTGTGGGAGATTGAAGGAAGAGAAAAAAAAGACGGGATCCCGGGCGCGCGAGGGTGGGGGGACAAACCGCGGAGAAAGGTTACGACGGTGTGGATGGTCGGCGCTGAGCAGGTCCGTGGCGGTATGGTTGTTCGGCCACCGAGAAAGTATTCTACGGAGAGGGTTGTGAGTGCTTGTGAGTGAGTGCTGTGCATCACGACAACACCCAAGCCACCTCGACTTCTCGACCCCGACTGGCGGCGCTACGAACCGGACCCCCACCGGCATTTTGAAACCCTGACTCGGCTCTCCACTCCAAAACTGTATGACAACCTCGATGTGACTTTTGATATTTTTTTTTCTTTCCTTCTTTCGACTGTGTGCACGTCCTGTTCGCCTTTCCCTTACTTTTGAATTATTTTATATAAGATACTGTTCGTAACGCCGGCGTGCTTTGCTCTCAATTCCTCCCGCCTCTCGGGAAGTGTATCACCAAGGTGTGGTCCCAACACCTGGACAGCGGTCCAAGTCAAATTCCAAAATTTTTTTTAATGGGATTTTTAACATCCGTACCTGTGACAGATGTAAACAATGAAAATGCAACATTTCTTCTTTTAATATTGCATTCGATCGATCGGTTTCCGGGTCCGCGTTTAACTTTGGGGGTTCCAGGTTGCCCGATCACTGGCGGCTGGATGTTCCCCGAATCGACTTTAGGGACTTTCAATCGGACCTTGTCTGCAGCGGACCTGGTCCATATGTCGACGGACTGTTCCCTCCGGAGTCTCGATGACCAGTATCCTTTACTCGAGCCGGTTTTTAATGGTCCCCGGTGACCATCTTTCACCTTGACCGAAGTTGCGAACCCACACCGGTGCTCCGAGGTCCCAGGAGTCTTCTTGAACCTGCACAACGTCGGACAATAACGCCGGCCGGAATGGTACGCTCATGTCCAGGCGCGAACGAATGCGATACCCGAGTAGTATTTCCTCTGGGGACTTGCCACACGCTAAAGCTGTCCGACGATAATTGTTCAAAAGCTGCGCCAGCCTTTTTCCCAAATTTGTACCCGTTAACTTAGCGAGGCCGAACTCGATCGTCCTGACTGCACGTTCAGCCAGCCCGTTAGAATGAGGATGATAGGGCGCACAGCGGAGGTGACACATATAGTTCTTTTTTTTTTTTCACGAAGTCTTCAAAATGCTGATTAATAAACTGAGGTCCATTATCAAAAACGATTGTTCTGGGCAGGCCGAACCTGCTGAACAGTTCCTGAAGTTGATTCCCCGTCGCCTCTGCCGTCATTAATAGCATCAGACAAGCTTGAAACCATTTGGACTGGAAATCAACGACAATTAGCAAAATCCTTCTTCAAATCGTCCTGCATAATCGATTTCCACTCTCGACCATCTATCTTGTGTTTCTGGCCAATTCACCGGTGAGCACGCGGGCGGCATTGGGGCTGCTTGCACGCACTCGTTACAATTTCCGCTCAGTTATTCCACCTCCCGTCCAGTCCCGGCCACTAAAACAATGACCGCGCATTTCTCTTCATAGCTGATACCCCGTGGTGGGATTCGTGCAGCAGCTTCAGAATGTCCGGGCGGGCCCCTGTGGGAATCACGAGGCGCCGGCCCTAGTAAAGTAACCCACGGCACGTAGACAGCTCGAGCTTCCAGGAAAAATAAGGCTGTACCTCTGTCTGGTTCTTCAGAAGACTAGCAGGCCAGTAGTTCTGCACGTGCTTGATGACCTCCAACAACGTATCGCCTGTTTTCATCAAGTCTCCTAGCCGCTATACGGACATGAATGTTTCGTCCACGCGGTGTAACATCAGCACAAACTCCGGTAGGCCATCCTCCACTCGTGGTCCTTGCCGTGGAAGTGGCAATCGACTGAGCGCGTCAGCGTTTCCGTTTTGTTTTCCGGGTCGAAATTCTATTCCGTACCGAAAATCGCTGAGTATCAGAGCCCTCCTTTGAATGCGTCCAGACGCCAGTAGCGGGACAGGCCGCTCTTCTCGTGGCAGACCCACAAGTGGTTGATGGTCCGTGACTAATACGAAATGGCGTCCCAGTAAAAAATCACGGAACTTGATTACGCCGAAGATCAACGCAAGTGCCTTCTTTTCTAGTTGCGTATAATGTTTGTTTCGGCGAAGGTCAATGTTCTTGACCGAAAAGCAATCGGCGTATCGACGCCCCGGATCTTGTGCGAAAGGACGGCGCCCACTCCTGTTGGGGACGCGTCCCATTCCAGTCGCAGTGGCTTCTCAGGGTCAAAAAATATCAGGACCGGTGATGTCAGCAACGTGACCTTGGCCTGTTTAGCGGCCTTATCTTGCCTTGGTCCCCAATTCCGTCTTTTATCCCTGCCGAGCAGCTCGTGTAACGGTGCTAACAAGGTCGACATATTGGGCATGGATCGGTGATAATACGTGAGAAGCCCAAGGAAGGAGCAAAGTTCGCTTACATTTGACGGCGTCGGTGCATCTCGGCTGGCCTCCCAAGTTTTTCTCGATTGGATGTAGTCCTTCCTTGTCAATCTGGCGCACCAGGTAAGTAATGTCCGGCTTCCTGAAGTGACATTTTGATCGCCGAAGCTTGACACCCATGTCACGGAAGCGTTGCAGCACCCTCCTCAGGTTCTCGGTTTCCGGTTGTTCCGCCACAAAGACGTCGC